CTGAAACCTCTGTTGGTTCTGCAATCACGTAATTTGCTAACGTCATGACTGGCATATCTAATTCCTTTAATGCTCATATCTAATATTCCTTTTGTGCTCTTTCAACCTTTTAGTAAGCAACTGTTTTATGGCCCCTATATAATACAGTTCCTTTTGGCGCCTTTTATCGTGTAACAGTATTCTGTAAATCCCTGGAACCAATTTTTTTGTCTAAGGGTGCTTTGTCATTTCTTAACATCTGAAATATTGTAGGGTTCCTCTTATAGGCTATTTTCTTATTACTTGCTATTCCTATTTTCTTGTATATGCTGGTTAACGGTGTCCTGTATTCCATTATGGTGAACTCCTCCTCTTTCATCTTCTCCTTGCGTTCAATGTCTCTTTTTTGTGTTTTCTGTATTAAGTCTTTTATTTTACTTTGCTTTATTCCTACCTCTCTTGCTAGCTTTGCAATGTATTCAACTTTTTTTCTTGTGTCTTGAATCTTGCTACAGTGTACGAATGCCCTTTTAAACACTGCTCTAAATGCTGCTAGTTTGTAGTTTGCCGGGTCAAATAAAAGATTTAATACAGAAAGCACAAAAAAGAGATATTGAACGCAAGGAGAAGAGGAAAGAGAAGGAGTTCACCGTACTAAAGTATATCGAAAGCCGACGTACATTCTGGAGCTGATACCATGGGGCTCACGTGACCCGGCAAACTACATGTTCTTACTATTTTTATTTGTACATAATAATAAAAATACATATATACACAGTGTTGCATTTTTATTTGTCATGTTTTTTCTGTTTGTTTGGGTTAAAGAATCTGTCTAATGTCGATTGCTTTTCTCTTTTCTTCAGGATTTTTCAGAAGTAATTAATAGGAATGTAATTGTAGAGATTTCCAAGCCTATTAACCTCAACCTGGTTTGGATGCCATTCTAAGACCATCATTCTGACATCATCCCACTTTTTCAAAAAAATGTTTAATAGCATATATCGACATTAATCCTCTTTTTCAGAAGAAAACATATCTCGCCGAGTTTCTTGGTGTTCTTCATTCAAGAGTTCTTGGCATTCTTCTGTGTCAGATCTGTTTCAGGTTCCATTATGTCAGATCTGTTTCAGGTTCTTTATTTCTCAGATGTGACTTTTGTTACTCCTTAAGCTGCTTGAGTCTTCTTAATTATACTGTATCTTTCTTAGATAAGATTGAACTGTGGCCTATTGTAGACCTGTTCAAGCCATACTGCCCAGCAACAACAGACATCAGACATCTGCCCACTCTCTACCTTTGCTATCACACTCTCACAGAATGATATGC